CCACCCCCCAGTATCTCTTGAGCCCCGCCCTCTCTCTTCACCTCTCCTTCCTTCCTCTCCGCACGAACAAATTCAGGTAAATTCGACTTGTTTATTTCTCTTTGGCCGACCTGACAAGAGGAGGTAATCACAGTATGAAGGAAGCCGCGTTCCAGAGCCGACGGGCCTTGAGGGGTTAATTGCTTCCGTCCTGTGAAGATATTAACCCTTTCTGTCCCACTTAACAGCGAATGTTTCCACCAAGGGGGTTTTTGGTTCACGGTCCAATATCTCAGAGGAAAGAACCACGAAGAGACTTGGCGTGGTCCTTTTTTTTCTTCTTGTAAGTGTTTTACGACGCTCGCAACTGCATAAGGTAATATGAGCGCGCGGGACACATTAGCTGGAAGACAGCAGTAAGAAGGAGCCAAGGAGTAGCAGTAGAAAGGCTGCAGAAAGAGTCAGGAGCCCAGAAGAGAGGGCAAAGAAGGTGAGGGGATGGGGGCAGAAAGAGGAGACGAAAGCAGACGATAGAACTATGCTAGAGAGCTGGAAAGGAGGTGAAAGGAGACAATTTTAGAGAAGAAAATTTTTCTGTCGCTACACGGATTTGAACCGGGACCTTTGAATGAGAAGCGAACACGAGAACATCTTGGCCTCGAGAGTTCCCCCCTTGGCGTTGTCGGGCGTTTTCGACGGAGGATGTGTAGAAAAGGGGGCTGATCATGTTAAGTGAAACAAAGAAAAAATAACTAAGGGAAGGAAAGGGGGAGTGAGACCTTGAGAGACTGGGCTAATCAGCTTACACCAACACCAACAGGGGCATGGGTAGAGTGGGCTGTACGAGACACGTGGGGATGGGGGTGGGGTGGGGGTGAGGATTTGAACAAAAGATGAAAGGAACGACAGCCGAGCTAAGTGTAATGTCCGTAGTATAGGGTTTTACGGCGCTCCCAACTGCTAAGGTCATATGAGCGTGTGTAATGTCCAATATGGAATAAGTCTAAAGGGGGTGGGGCGGCGCTGGGAGACTGTACATGTATTACGGTGCGGGTTGTTTCAGCCCGCGAGACACGCATTTACTAATGTTCTGTCTTGTTGTGCGCATGCGTGAGTGCACCTACCCTTTTAGAACATCATTGAGAACAACCAAGACAAATATCTCCCGGCGAGATGAATAAAGATGGTCATTGCCATTGTCATTCTCGCTGTCAAAACAACAACAACAACAACAACAACAACAACAACAACAACAACAACAACAACAACAACAACAACAACAACAACAACCACATGTGAAGCGTGCTGACAAAATGAGTTACTTCTCGGATTCAAGCCTCAAGGAAATAGATGCATCACCTATATAGGTGAAGTTTTTACAATTTATAAGAATGAAATAATAAAAGGAATGGTAAACTTAAAGAATATGGCATCAATAAAAAATCTACAAATTTGACCCTAGTGTCGATTTTTGGCCAATATCTTCATTTTCGGATTACAAAAAGTAACTCATTTTGCCAGCACACTATCCACCAAAAACAATTCATAGCCTTGTCCAAAGATAGTAGGCCTGCACTTAAATAATATGGTTTGTTCTTTAATTAAAAAAAAATCGCTCTCAATAATACGCACGCAATCGTACAAACGTCACCAGACGCGATAATGAAAACATTAATTTGGTTTCGTCACTTCCAAACACACGTAGATCTGCGTAGAAAAAAACAACAACTACACATTAATAGCTGAGTCTCAGCCGCACATTTAGGGCGATTAAAAAAAAATGTATCTCAAATAGAAGGATGAACATTCTTGAGGTGTTTAAACGTTTTCTGGTCTCTTTATTCTCTCTTTGCTGGTCCAGTAAGTTCCATCAACACAAGAGAGGGTTTACAGTATTACTGTCAACTCTCTGATCAACACTCTACACTCGCAGGCTTGTGCTGTTCTGCTTCGCGGGGAACAGACGTTCTGACAGGCTCGAGTTATTTCCCCATGTCTAGCGGAAGCTTTGTCAGTAGTCCGAGAATTCGGAAGATACCCGTAACAATAACTGTTGAAAGTGAAGGGTTTGTGTGTGTGTGGGGGGGACGAGAGACAGACACACACACACACACACACACACACACACACACACACGCACACACACACACACACACAGAGAGAGAGAGAGAGAGATGTAGACAAACGCGCGTGCAGATGCATCGTTG